CTTGAAATGCCACCTTAAAATTGGCTGAATGAAACAACAAATTCAAGTATGCACCAAAATAATGCATCCCTGCATTTTGAGTTTGTACGACTGTCTTTAGCACCCTTAATTATGCACCCCTTCCCTCACACGGATCAATGGTACAGTGGATTATAAGCTTGTGCCGAATGCCACAAACGGAGTGAATTCAGTTTATGTATGACACTGGGCGCCATAATGCCTCCCACAAAACATTAAAAATGTCCTTCCCTGTTCAAAGGGTATAATAGAAACATTGAATTCAAGCATACTCAAAAATACACCTCTTGATTTTGAAATAATCAAAAATTTTCAGGGGAGCATGCTCCCAAATCCCCTCCGCCGATCAAGATTCATCGGCTCCATCGATTTCCGTCCCAGTTCTCGATGAAAATGATCGCCGATTTGGTATCGATAGCTACACGGCCTAGTGGCGTGGCTACTATTAGTGCTGCCATGGGCGGCCAAATATTTTTGCCGTCCTCCCTTTCACGATTCAAACTCTACTGTTGTCCGAAAATGCCGCACCGGCATATACAGAAAAAGTGACACCTGGGTGGACCACTCCATCCGCCCTATTTCGATGCCACTAGCAGGGGCGTATCTACAGTGTTTTATGTCAGGGGACAAGATTCATTTTTACGCCCCCCTCCAACCCTGAAACCCACTATTTTCAACCAATTAATCCCACCAACGCCCATTTTTTTCCCCTCCCCCCCGCAAGTCTGCCGCCCCGGGACGTATGTTTCATCTGCCAACCCTTAGCTATGTCCTTTGCCACTGGCAACTGGCATAGCCCCCCCCCCCGCCCCAAAGTCTGAAGTGCAGAAAATTTCTGAAAGAAACACTGTAGATGACTGTTGTTATCGTAACGTTTGACAAAAGTTAAACGTGAAATCTTGCCATATGAAATCACGTGCTGAATCGCATTTTTCACCATACAAATTAAGTATGGACTATTCGGTATATTTCTTTTAATTAAAAAAACAAACATATAAAATCCCATTTGAAGAAGAAATGAATTATTAAGATTACCAATAAAATAATTTGGGATTTCTAAGTTCTCCTCAGCGGCGGAGAAAAAAGTTCCTCCCCAAAGGCACCCACTCTTCAACGCTACACCCGAAAAGCCATTTCTTGACCCCAATAAAATATGTACACCTTGTGACACGATAATAAAAAGAATATTAAAAAAAGTAACAGCCTGTCAATGACATCTTCAATAGGAATTTGAAATATATATAGCCTAGACCAGGATGTTGAAATTACGTTACGAACGTATTGTTCGATGAAGACTGATGTTTTTAGCAGTATAAATTAACATCACCTATGGATGCCTTAAGGATTTATAAGGAGCTTGTTCTTATGCTTGTTATTGGAGGTGAGAATTTATTAAAAATTATCATTTATTAGATTTTTTGTAAAAGTTACCAGTATGTAAATTGTACACACTAGTGTTCAACCGGTACAGTTTCTTCTTTACACTGGGGTCCAAGTATACTGAGAAAATCTTTGTGAATTTTTTTTAGCAATTTTGGACCGGTGGGACAATGTGTTTCAAAAAAGAGTTAACTTCTCATTTAAAAAAAAAAAATAAGCAACGAAATCTACTGTTCTATGTCAAAGTGAGAGTGCATTGCCTTCGTCAACTGTTTGTTTCAAGAAATAACCTACTTATAAGGAACAGGCAATTGTACGCATGAGGCTCGCTGAGTGACGGCCTCTTCCCCACTTATTTCTATATTATATTAAACATGTGGAGTAGGGGGCGGTTTTGTAGAAGAGGAATCATCCATCCATCCATCCATCCATCCATCCATCCATCCATCCATCCATCCATCCCTCCATCCATCCATCCCTCCATCCATCCCTCCATATCTCCATCCCTCCATCCATCCATCCCTCCATCCCTCCATCCATCCATCCCTCCATCCATCCCTCCATCCCTCCATCCCTCCATCCATCCATCCATCCCTCCATCCATCCATCCATCCATCGCTCCATCCCTCCATCCATCCCTCCACCCATCCATCCCTCCCTCCCTCCATCCCTCCCTCCCTCCCTCCCTCCCTCCATCCCTCCAACCATACCTCCCTCCATCCCTCCCTCCCTCCATCCCTCCCTCCATCCATCCCTCCATCCCTCCATCCATCCCTCCCTCCATCCATCCCTCCCTCCATCCATCCCTCCCTCCCTCCCTCCCTCCCTCCCTCCCTCCATCCATCCCTCCCTCCATCCCTCCCTCCCTCCATCCCTCCCTCCATCCCTCCCTCCATCCCTCCCTCCATCCACCCCTCCCTCCATCCCTCCCTCCCTCCACCCCTCCCTACCTCCACCCCTCCATCCCTCCACCCATCCACCCCTCCATTCC